CTTAGCGCACATGTGGAAAAAGCCCTAAGATAGAACATATATAGTGCATTTAATCCAATCTAAACCAGCCTTTTATATATCTGGTAGAGGGTTAATAAAAACCAAAAGAGGTTGTCTTAGATCTGCCTATTAGAAAAAAAGCATCTTAGTGTGGGGTGATGAGTTAGCATATGTCAGCTCCTTCTCAGTAGCTGTAGGTGTCCGGTAAGTGTAAGGTAATTCACTGTGAGTGTGTGGCAGAATGGCTTCGTTCTCACTGCAGATGCCAACGTGTGGGCTCCAGCTCCCTTCAGAAGCTTTGTGTTAGTCCCAGCTGCCAATGCCCACTCATAGCTGTGGAGCCAAAGGAGTCTTTTTCAGCCATATAGTTTTCTTGTGTGAGATTGGCCACAGAAATGGGCATGTCTTCACCTTGCCACCCTGGTGGGCTGCCTAGGGTCAGGTGGCTAACCACGAGCAAGGACCACTACCTTAAAGCAGATGATATCCATGGACTTTATGCACCATTTCTTAGGTACGGATCCTCACCCTGCAATATTAGAGAGGAAACCTTCTATGAAGTATAGTCCTCAAAGAAAGATCAAAATACCTCACCTTTGTCGCAGGGTAAAAGTATGTGCACGGACAAATTACCAGCAGAGCACTTTGTGTGTAGTAATGTCTTGCATGTCCATAGTCCTGTACACTAAATATTGAGGATTCATGAAGCCATCTTGCATTTGGATAGGTGTATTTTATGGTATGTGTAGCATAATACAGTACATACATAGATAGGTACAAGAACTGAAGAAAAGCAGTTTGAAGTGGAGTATGCTGGAAGGAGCAGATCTGATTCTAAGGCATAGGGCAATCATACTGGTTGAGCATATGACTGTGTCACCAACTCTGCCCTAGATTGCATGAAAAACAGTAAATGCCAGCAGATCATAATTTTCTAATGTCAGTTACTTAGTGTTAGGGATACAGGGAACCGTCCTGCTGTAGTGATGGCTGCCCTACATAACAAAACACCTCTTTCCACTTGCACAGCCTCTGCATGTTCCTGCAGCAGAACAGCTGAGCGAGGATGCAATTATATGTGCTTTTCAGTATGACGACACATGGAGTTCAACTTAAGTATTTGAAAAATGCATCCTATTTCTCTGATTCTGAAACTTCGTGAGTAGTAAATCAGTTTCTGTAATAGCCATTATTGAGGTTTCACAGGACTTCAAAATGTCAGACGAGAATGGGCTGTTTAAGTACAGGTTAAGTGAATGCAGACATCATTCACTGTGGAGGTCTGGTTGGTCTGTGGTTCAGGATTATAGAAACAGATGGAGGTTTATGCGCGCGCGCGCTCTCTCTCTCTCTCTGTCCTTTTCTTTTGTGGAGCTCTGAGGCCCTACCTAAAGTTTGAACTTATTTCTGTTGTGCAGAAAACAAGTTAGCTGGGCTGGTGGTCACAGAAAGCAACAGAGCATGCAAACTACCCAGCTGTATCACTTGTCCGTCCTCTCCCCGCCGTTCTCAGGAGATTTCATCATGGAAACAGTGATGGTGCAAGAAATCTGCTTATGAGTTCCTTCAAACGTGGACATGCGTCGCTAGCCTTGTATCAGTCTCTGTCAGGCAGATGATTTTTTCTAGAGTAGAATCAGGATGTATGCAACCAGACAAAACACTGGTTTTGTGCACAACAGCTGAGCGAGGATGCAATTATATGTGCTTTTCAGTATGACGACACATGGAGTTCAACTTAAGTATTTGAAAAATGCATCCTATTTCTCTGATTCTGAAACTTCTTGAGTAGTAAATCAGTTTCTGTAATAGCCATTATTGAGGTTTCACAGGACTTCAAAATGTCAGACGAGAATGGGCTGTTTAAGTACAGGTTAAGTGAATGCAGAGATCATACACTGGAGGTCTGGTTGGTCTGTGGTTCAGGATTATAGAAACAGATGGAGGTTTATGCGCGCGCGCGCTCTCTCTCTCTCTCTGTCCTTTTCTTTTGTGGAGCTCTGAGGCCCTACCTAAAGTTTGAACTTATTTCTGTTGTGCAGAAAACAAGTTAGCTGGGCTGGTGGTCACAGAAAGCAACAGAGCATGCAAACTACCCAGCTGTACCACTTGTCCGTCCTCTCCCCGCCGTTCTCAGGAGATTTCATCATGGAAACAGTGATGGTGCAAGAAATCTGCTTATGAGTTCCTTCAAACGTGGACATGCGTCGCTAGCCTTGTATCAGTCTCTGTCAGGCAGATGATTTTTTCTAGAGTAGAATCAGGATGTATGCAACCAGACAAAACACTGGTTTTGTGCACAAATTTAGAAGACTAACTCCTAAGAAAAGAGGAACACTTAAGATTCACAACATACCATTCGATTCTGCATTCTACATTTAATTCACCTTTTCAGCAAACAGAATAACGTTAGCAGTATTAACTCTTTGTGTGTGTACATTTGCACATAGCAATGCACTGAGCATTTTTTTGTCAAAGGGCTTGATAAAAAGGAATCAAAAGGAGACGTTATACAAGCCATGAGACTGCATTCTGAAATCCCCTTTTTCTTTTCATTTAACGCGTCAGAATATATGGGAGCCTGCTTTACTAATGCTACGGCTGTAAGAAAATAGGCACTTTTTAGGATATAGAGGGATGTGTCTTTAACTCTTAAGAATTTCCAAAAGTAGCAATTAGGAGTTTGTAGATGTCACTGTTTTGAAACTGTTTTGCGGGTGTCACTATTTTTGAGCTGCCCTGCCCTGATAATCAAACTGTAATATGATGCCAGAGCTAGCAAGGGAAAGGGCAGCGGTGGGGACCTCAGTTAAAAGTTTACTAGTCCGACTTGCTTCTCTGTTAGCAGCTATAAAGAGAAACTTTTGGAAGAGATGTAACGTGTGATCTCTTGCATAGCAAGTGAAAGGTTGAGGGTCATGTAGGAACCAGAATGGCATTTGGGGCTTAAGAACCACTGAGTTAACGTCAGACTCACTTACTTAAACTTGCTGCAGAGTAGCCCCAAACCTTCACTTTGCAGCTCCCAATAAAATGTGTTCAGCTACTTACTGTTTAGTAATTGAAGATATCCCTAATATCAAGTTACGGTGACATATAAAAGTTCCTCAAAAGGCCTGAAAACTCTGACATCTCCACCAGGTGCGTGAAAAATTAATTTAGGTCAGTGGTTTTTGGTCAGATACCATGCCCACATTAGCTGGTTAATTTTATTCTTTTGAAGTATAAAGGCTTGAGGAAAAAGTCTGGAATGAAAAAAACAATTCACAGGTATCTCATCTGTCTGCTGTAGAAGTTAATATTAACTAAAACAATGTGAGTGTGCAAGTTTCCCTAAACTTTCTAACTTTGTATGTTTTATGGGCCATCCTTACTGCATATATCTAATTTCTGCATGTATCAATGATTCTCCATTATACAGGCTACAACATATACACGACAGTGGCAAAACCAAACAAATTTGTGAAAAACATAGCTGTGCTACGCATTGCTTCCTACTCCAAATTAGTCTTCTAATGCCAAAACCTACATATTTGATTTTAACTAAAGGGTTTGTTATGAGAAACCAAGTGGAAACTTGCAGATTTTATTAAAAATAAAAGAACAGGTAGCCAAACATCTCAGCATTTATTATAAGGATTTGTGAAAAAAATCTTGGTAAGTTAAGGTATAGTTGCAGGAGTGACTGATTTTAAAAAAACAAAAACCAACCGAACACACAACCCCCCAAAACCAGCAACCAAAAAAGCACCTTACAATGTGGAGGTTTTGGACCCACTTTGATTTTTCTATTATTCTGTATCATTGCAACTTGTACTGAGTTAATTTGTAGTCAGATGCTTGAAAACTGTGAAAAATGGGAAAAGAGGTTTAAATACAGGTTCCCAAAAGTTGAGGCATAAGTCAGTTTTTCTGAGGAGGGTTATTGTGCATATGCATTCTGCAAAGATGACAGCAATGATCTCCCTGGGTTTGGAGTCTTGCAGTAAACTTCCACGTCATTGCGACTTTCAGATGAAGTTAGTGCAGTGTTTACTTACAAATCTGCCTTTGGAGATGATCGGGAAGCTATTACAGAATGTGTTCAACAGTGTGAGATCATTATGTTATTCAAATACCTGTTATAGCGGAAGGTCCCAGGCATGGTTTTTAATAGACTTTAAATTCCTGTGATAGAAAAACAAACTGATTTTCCGAAAACAGCATTCTTATTAAATTCAATTTGTTGACACCAATACTGTTAAAACCCTGCTACTATTTTTATTGTTTCTCTGTATGTGTGAGGAGGGGGAGATACGTTGCCTATAAAGCCTCCTTTTTAATTTTTGGAAAGCGTATCATTTGATAACAGTGTCTAGATTTTAAACATCAATGGGTGACATCTGGTGCTTTTGGTGAAAAATGCTGAATTTCAGAACTCGTTGCTTCTTGGTAGTCCAGCGGTACTAGAGTCTACTAATGCGCAAACAGTGCAACTGCTACCTGTAATCTCATACAGCAGCGTGGTTAATCTCATCCTGGAGCTCTCCAGCCACATTACCTACTTTCTTGTAGTTGAGAATCTCCCTGTGAACTTCTGTAGTTGTGTGCACGCGTGGAAAAACAAGTATGACCAACATTTTTATTATGCTAGCAGTGTCTTTGTTAGTGTGGGTTTTGGCAAGACACTATGCTTTTCCTTAAAAATTAGTGTCATACCGGACTTCTTAAATTGTTAACCCTACCCCCGCAGAAGTCCCTGTGGGCTCTCCGTTCTGCTAGTATTTTCCTTGCACGAGTTAGACTAGCATGCCCTCTTGCATTTTTCCAGGACCCAGGCTCCTCTGCATTTTGTATTTCCTCCACTAACTCAACTATACACCATTTCAAGAAAAAGCTGGCAAAACCAGTGATGTATACAAATAAAATAGTGTAAAATAAAAAGAAAACCTTGTGAGAATATATAGAAAATTAATGTCATAACTGCAATAAATGATAAACATTTTTTCGCTTTCAGGTTTAAAAATGTCTGACCAGAAAAATATTGTACACAGAGCCCATTGTATTGAAAAGCTACTGTCTGAGAACAATTTCCAAGATATTGAGGATCATCTTAAAGAACTTGAAGATGTTGATATGACTGTAGGATATCTGCAGGGGACGGAAGTTGCCAAGGCTGTATATAGGATACTCAAGAGCTGCCCTTCAGCAGAGTTGAAAAAGAAAGCAAAGCAGTTATTATCAAGGTGGAAAACACTTTACAAGAATAACTGTGCTCAGTCAATGCAAGTTAAAAAGTCAGTTTCTGTGTGTGTGAAAGAGGAAACTGAACATCTCAGTGTGGTTCCTAGAGGGCAGTTGCTGTCTGAAGGACTATGTCAGCAGGAGGCATTAGATGCTACTAGTTCTAAAATTTTGGTCCCATCACAAACTGTTAAAAATGTGGTATGTAGTGATGCAGAAGGCAGCATGAATCAGCTTTCTTCTTTTGAGGAACAACACACTGATAATGAAGACTCTAAACCTCTTGTTAACGAAGCAAGTCTGCAGCAGGATCCGATGAGAGCTCTGAGGAGTAAATGTACGGATCTTCTTTATAATGCTTTGACTGTTTCTGCCAAAGACGAAGAAGAAACTGATAAATTGCTAGAGCTATCTAAAGAAATCGAAGAACATATTTTTGCTCTTCATGCTAAAAATGACAAAAAGTATAAAAATTGCATCAGAAGCAAAATCTCTAATCTGAAGAACCCTAAAAGTTGCCACTTAAAACATAACCTTTTTTCAGGGACGTTGAGTCCAAAGGCTTTTGCTGAGATGACAGTGATGGAAATGGCCAGCGATGAACTGAAACAGCTCAGGGCTCTGTACACAGAGTCATCTGTTCAGGAACATCAGCTTCCACAAGTTATTAATGGCACACAGACAAACAAAATAAAGTGTAGGCGCTGTGAAAAATTTGATTGCACTGTCACTATGATCGCCAGAGGAACTCTCTTTCTTCCAGGTTGGGTGCGAAACACAAATCCAGATGAACAAATGTTGACTTACGTTATTTGTAATGAATGTGGAGAACAGTGGTATCACAGCAGATGGATTTGTTTGTAACGCTATCCCTCTTTAATAAGTGGTTTAGAAACATAGATATGAGAAGGTATCTCTGTTGGAACTGTGTAATTTAAAATTTTGTATTGATATTATGTAGATGCTGCCACTAAAAAGTGCAAAATCAGTTGTAAAAAATCGCTAAGCTGTTTTTGAAGATGACTTGAATAAATCTATGTGTTTTTAAGTAATGTCAATATGTAAAGAAATAAAAGAAAAAAGGGAAAAAATTGTAACACTGTATCAGAGAGGAATATTCACTAGTAAATCCATTAAAAATATTCCAAGTGCTGCAATTTTTTTCCCCAAGGTACTGAGTACTTGGAATTTTCATTATCTTCAGGCAGGCGTTCTCTCACAAAGAAAATGTTTCATTTACAGTAAACAAACTGTTTCCAAAACTGCAGTTCACATACTTGCGTGCATTGCAGAATGTTCAGCATGGATTCACTCCTTAATTAAATCACTTTTTGCAAGTAAGTGTTAGATTAAGTTGGTTTGAGAGGTAATGTCTATAAAAGAAAAAAGGAATGAAAAATAAAGTGTAAAAGGGGAAAAAGGCAGCTAGCAAATGAAAGCAAAAATGAAATTCTGCTTTAGCTTTTTATAGCTATTGGGAGGAAAATATGACTTGTGACAATCTATCAGTTTGCAGTTCAGATTTGCAATGTAAGATGGTGTGTCCTGCAACTGTTAAGAAATTAATGCAAGATCAGATAATGGTTTATTTCAGAAAAATATGTAAATGCGTTATTAAATTTAGGTAGGAAGTTAATAAGAGTTAATTACTGTCTGGATATCCTCTCTTGAACTGGGACATCTGTCCTGAACTGAGCAAATTAATGTTTTTATATAGTGCAGGTTACCCAGAAAAAACGAATAGAAGGAAATCTAATAGCTGAAGTTTTTGTACATGTTTTTGTTCCAGAGTCAACAGGATACTCACTGGCTGTATACTAGAAGCATTTATTTACCAGAAAATACCACCTTAGCATTATTCTCACTCAAGTAATAGCCCTGTTGTTGTTTTTGTTTCTTTCTGGAAAACTTAAAATGACTTCAAGTCGGCTATCTGAATACTTTGAATGGAGTATGTATTGGAAATCAGGGAGATGTTTCTTTTCTGGACTGGGAGAACCACCTGAGTCTGGGTATCTTTCACAGCTGTCTGTTGGTCTGTAGAAGACTATGTTCATACTGTGTGTCCCTATTTTGGATTCGTCACTGTTTCTGAGTTACTGTAAATGTATAAATGGGAGGAAATGGGTCTTGCATTGAGTCTGAATTTTCTGAGCACACGAATGTGTCAACTCACGGACCTAAGGAAATGCAGTGAAGAATAAGTCTGCCCTGCCTGAGGGGTTAGGTCCTTGCAGCAGAGCAGTAGTACTGTTTGGAAACATAACCTTCATAATGAGTTTCCTTGTTGGAGTACGGACGAGATGGTGAAATGGGTCAGTAAATTGCCAGAGTCATGTTTTAGGCACAGGAGAAAGTGTTTTGTTTCACCCTATTGTATAAACACAATAAACCTGCATACTTGGCATCAATGGAGATACCTTTTACAAATGCACAACAGGCATTTTGCAGTTCAAGGCTAAAATGCATCAGCTGAGCAGAGAAACCTGGTGCGTATTTGCTGGAGGAATGAAGGACAGTTCTGCACCCATCTAGCTGTATGTAACACAGCCAAGGCTGGCCAGCTTCTCTGGGCTAAGGCACTGCCCTGGAGCTCTCCAGCCACATGGCCTGTCAGAGAAAGGAGTTAGGGGCACGAGATGAGAAAATAGCTGTTGGTGAACTAGAAGCCAGCCAGGATTAAAAATAAAACGGAAGACAGGCTTTTATCTGTATATGGTGAAAACGGTGTGTAACCTGCTGTTACAAAGAGGCACTTACTATGCTCCTACTGAAAAAAACAAGAAAAATCTTTCCCATCCTGATGGATGTTAACTTTCACGGTGTGATTTACTGTGGCATTACCTAGATTTTTATCATGTGAAAATGTGTGTTTTAGTGGAATTGCACTGATGTAAAACAAATATTAAAGCATTAGGCCAGGCCCCCAGTATTCAACTGTGTAACCAATCAGTTAATATCTGACCTTCCTTCCCAGCCCTTACCCATGTGCTGGAATTGATGCTTATAAGTAGTCCTGCTTGTTTAAGTGGAAGTACTTCTGTGCAAAGTATTATTTTTAGCTTTCAATAAAACCATAGGAAAGCAAACACTTCTGTGTTACTGGTTCACAGTAAGCTCGGAGTTGCGTGCTGTCATTTTGGAGGTCACAGTCCTGCTGAGGAGAGCTGTACGCCAGTACGGTGCTGTGTCAGAACACCATGTAGCAGGAGACTTTATTTTAGCTGTGAACAATGGACATTTATAAATAATTTCTGCCTGCAGATGGTTTTGAAGCCATTCCAGTAATGTCCAGCTCATCCAGGTTTTGTCTTGGCGAGGGGAAATGTCACAAGGCATGGACAGCGTTTTTGACAGATTATATTTCAAGGGTAAAATTTGTAGCCATAATACAGACTACATTTGTGACATAATGTGTAACATCGTTTTCTTTTGAACTGCCCATCACTAAATGTATAGTGCTAAGCTATATGCCCCAACATGACTGGGATTTTCCACTGATCCATGTTTACTGAGCAGCTAAGAAAATGTAAACAGCGGATATCTTAAAACTTTTTCAAATCATTGAGCAAGCCTGCCTCACTGCGGATCTGAGTGAGCCGTACCTGCAGCAGCAAGAGGGTCATTTGGTTCTAGCCTTTCGCATTTTGCCCTTTCTTCTAAGATGTGGAAATAATAAAATCCAGTTACTAACAACTGCAGTTGCAGCTTATGGTATAGAAACAACTGTCAGTAAGTACAAATAGTCAAAAAAATAGATTATAACCATGCCCCTCTTACAACTATCCCTTAACTTCCTTCTGTCCGTTTCAAGCCGAAAGCAGTTGGAACTCTTAGGGCGGGTCCTTGGTACCCTCGCAGTTGCAAACTCCGCATTTTGAAGTCATTTTCTATGGTAATACATTGTGAGCAGGCATTCCTCCATTGCCTGCCTTCCCAATAACAATTGAACCTGAGAGTTGGCTTTGTAACTAATCCGGTTAAAGCTAGACATTAAAAGATGAGAATACATCTGTAAATTTTGTGAAATCCAGTAATCATGAAAAGAATTCCTGTTCCTATTGAAAGAGATGGAGCCCTTACCTTTATTCAGGAGTTACCTAGTCTAAGCTGCTAGCAGCTGGTTCAACACACACATTGTTGCCAGGTTGTTAGCATTACCTAAAAGCCAGGCACAAAATACGCTCCTGCTTGCACAGACAGTAGTCTGGGACAAGGAGGAGATCTGGGAATACTGGCAGAAAGGAGCAGAAAGTATTGGGAGGCAGGGAGGGTGAACCGGGCCCGTTGTAAGTATGCCGAGGACACAAATCTATCGGAAATGAGGCTTTGTTAGTCCAGGGCTGGTGAAAAGCTCATCTAGGTTCGGTTTTACTTTATGCCTGGTTCATGCTGGTAGACACGCTGCCCGCAACTTCACATTTAACAGTTAGTGAAACTGTATACAAAATCATGAATTACTGTATTACCTTCTTGATCATCTTATGCCATTGGTTATTTTTACCTAATACAGTTCATTACCACTTTGGCCTTTTTTCCATCTGTGTATCTAATCCTCGTTACTTGAAAGGTTTAGTAGAATGCAGATGTCAGGTAGTTTCATGTGCCACTATGTATCAAAATACTGTAAGATGTGAAGTGCCAAACATGAGAGACCGTCATTCAAGTAAATCATTGCTCTTATTTAAAAAGGTGTGGTCATAGTTTCGCTAAGCAAAGTGCTGCTCCAGGCCGCAGTTTGTCAATAGGTTATATTGTTCCTACCCAGATTGTGTAACTGTGCAGGCTTAAAATGTTTGACTGGATAAGATTGTATGCCTTGGCTCAAAATGGCTCTAAAAAGTCAACTTGCAATTACACAGCGTATGCGCCAGCAGGAGGGTGTAGATGACGAGTACAGGGAGTATCAGAGTCCAGAAACAAGAATAAAAGGAAAGCTTTGAAGAGTGAGATTCTTTTATGTTGTTGAAATTGTCTTTTCTCAGTTTGTTCCAGATGGGAAAAAGATCTTTTAACTTTTTTAAGCAGAGACAATTAATTTTGGTACGATGTTTAGCATATCCATGATGCTGCTCCACAAAGGAGCATGACGTTAGAGGTGATCCACGCAGACATAGGACAAATGTATGCTGAATAAGGGTAACGTCTGTATTTGTTTTCGCTGGGTTTTCCAGAGACACTATAAATTCAGCTGCTTCTTGAATCCTGTGATTTAATAGTAGCAATAAGGTCTTAAATGTAGATTGTACTCAAAGCTCAAGCGGCCTGTAGCTGCAGAACTTGTAATACGTGTCTTAAGAAGATGAGAGCTAAATTAACAATGAGTTTCACACAACTTTCAATATAAAAGCGAAAATATTACTTTGAGAAGTGCTTTATTAGTTGGAGTCGATGTTGCTCCCTTAACACCGGTGACAAAACTCCGTCTGGTTCCTGGAGATCCACTGCCGGATCCATTTCATTTCGTTCTGTTGAGGGCCTTTCGTATCTCTCATAACCCTCTTACTGTAGCACTTTTCAGGGAGGTACTCGGCTGCCATTTGTTGTTTATAACTCTTTCTGCCTTTCCAAGCCAAAAAGAAATTTGTGCTGTTTATTGTTTACTTAAAATGTATTCCTTTCAGTCTGCTGTGCTATGTACATTTGTTACTAAAGCCAAGAACTACAACTCTCTAAACAAAAAAAGAACAGCTCTCTTTCTGGCAAAAAGAAAAGTTACCTGGTAACAGGCTGTGGTTAAGGAGCAAATATGTTGAATTACAGTCCTTCAGGGAATCTTCAATGTGTAATGGCCCAGTTCATCGAGTGCCTGGAAGATAAGGAAAGAAACAAGAGCACTTTGATAATTTCTTGGATTGCTTGGGGGCTGGCTTGCTGCATTCTGGTATTAGCAGAGCCATAAAGGCAGATGACTTCATATCCCCTTATTTTGTACTGCTGTAATTCAGCCAGGAGGTGACAAAGTCATGTTTTATTGAGACCATGTCATCACTTGCCAGGATGGGACGAAGTCTCCTTGCCAACTACAGATGGTAAAAAGCATTATTCACAAGCTCTATTATACGAGAGCTTTGCTGATACAGAACTTTCTCATACACACAAAAAAATGCCCTTTATTTGCCATTGGGATGTTATTTTGCCGTTTGCTAGCACGTGACATAACAATTATCTCTTCATGAATTCAACTCTGTGAATAAAATCCTTAAGGTGCAAGGTCAGCTTTCAGATGAACATGCACGTGAGGGAGCAGCAAGGGTGGGTTGCTGCACAAGAGGAGGCGAGCCAGGAGCGGAGGGTGGGTGACAAGGCGCGCAGGGACAGTGACTTCAGTAAAAAGGGTCACCATCCCGCAGCACCCAAACAAGAAGAGCAAGGCAGGTCCAGTGACAATAATCAGCCAAAACTCCAGTGAGCACCGGACAAGTCCGCGGGGAGGAGGCTGTGCTGAGGTGGGGCTGGGTGTTAAATGGGGGTTGGGGCACGAGGTGGGGTGCAGGTCTGGGGCCACCGGGCTCGGACAGG